GGTTTCTGAAAGCCTTTTGTTATATGAGATTCAGTACAGAGCTTCCAAGTAGAACAAGCAGGGCTGGTCTCCTGCTCCTGCTGAGATGACCTGTGCTCGACCGAAACAGCCCTGCCTCTCGGAGAGCTTCCTGTCACAGGACAGCAGGTTTCTGAGCTGGCATTCTTGCACACCTTGGCCACTACCACCCGAGAGCTCCAGGGGAGAGAACAGTAGCCTGGTGGCACCGTGCATTTTAATTCACAGCAGTTACTAAATCCTTCAAGAGACCAGCCCAACTAAACTCATTCTATATCTCACATATCTGTCACTCACCACAAGAGTGTGGTGAGTCTGTCACTCACCACAAGAAACTAGCACTGACCCCCCACATGTCTTCCGTCATCATCTGGACCCACAGCACTCCCTACATGTGTAACCTGATTTTCAATTTCTCATTCCATCCTCTAATCTTTCCACCTTGACACCCATTAGAACACATGGTCTCTCATCTTCTATCTTTTCTTGGAAAGTTTCCTTCCTATTTTTTGCCAGTGGAAGCTGATTCTAGCCATGTCCTAGACTTCTCTTCTCCTTTTATCTTTAAAAATCTCCAACTCCTCTGTCATCAACATTCCATCAGCTATCCACCTTGTAGCTGCCAGCTACCAACATTTCATTAATTAACAACTGTAGAATGTCCCTCAATGAAATCCTTTCTTTTCCTACCCCTGCCACCACTCTACTGGCTTTGGCAACCACATGGTTATTCCATGCAAAGTGCTGGGCTCTGAATTACTGTACCTCCTCATCTTCAATGATCTTTTCCTCCATTTCAAATCAATTACTAGCGCTTTCCATTCATCTCCTTTGAAAACACCCTTGATACCCTGTTCCTCTCTTTTTTCCTTGTACTTTCCTGGGAAAGCCTCACTTCCATCCCAAACCAACTTAGATTGCATACTCCATTATTACAATGAAGACTCTTTTGAAAACACCCTTGATACCCTGTTCCTCTCTTTTTTCCTTGTACTTTCCTGGAAAAGCCCCAATTCTAATCAAAACCAATTATTTGGTTACACTTTTTCTGCACTCAGGCAGCTGAACATGGCTGGAGAAACAATGACAACTGTGTTGAGCAATTCCTTTTTAAAGACATAACTAAGTGGGCACTCCATGTTGCCTAGAAATTCTACATGTTATTAGCTTGTCTGCTTTTGCATTCTCCAAAATGATGTCACACCTTTTCTTTCCTCAACCCCCCTGCACCTGTGCCTTGATCCTTCATACTCATTGAGAGATTAGAACCATCACTAAATGCCTGGTCAGTCTCATACCACCAGACTATAAGCTTCTTGAGAACAAGGAACATTGATTTCCTTGTTTACTGCTATAACATTTATATTTAAAATTGTGCTTGGCATATTTATTTGAGAAATCTTTGTAGAAAGAAAAAAATTATAATTGCTTAAAATAATATATATGATGTTTAATGACATAATGAGCATTTAAAAATAATTATCACTAAACATAACAAATAACAAATAATAATCACATTTTTTTCTTCATCATGATCTAAATACTTTTCTCACACTGGTACACAAACTTCTAAGAAAGACTGCATTAATAAGTCAAATTAAAACATTCACTAGACAGGGGCGCCTGGGTGGCTCAGTTGTTAAGCATCTGCCTTCGGCTTGGGTCATGATCCCAGAGTCCTGGGATTGAGCCCTGCATCGGGCTGCCTGCTCAGCAGGAAGCCTGCTTCTCCCTCTCCACTACCCCTGCTTGTGTTCCCTCTCTCACGTTCTCTTTTTCTGTCAAATAAAAAAAAATAAAATCTTCAAAAAAAAAATTCACTAGACATTGACCATATGCAGCATGAAGGTTATTTCCTACAGGAACTTAAATAAAAAGCAAATATGGGATGGATGGATGAATCAATCAATCAATCAATCAATCAATCATTAAAAGGCTAACCAATAAATTATGTCAGTTGGATCATGGTTCACAAATCATAGAGCCCTTTACCATATATTTTCCTCATTTGTGCCACAGAACAACTCATAGATGTTATAAGCAAGGCTTGGCGAGCTTAAGTATCTTGCATAAGGTTACCTGGCTGCTAAGTGGCCAAGACAGGTGTTCAGACAAGATTTGCTGATTTAAAGTTCACCCATTCCATTATACCATAAGACCCACTACTTACACGTATGCTCCAAAACTAAAAATTGTGTCCTGCTATACAAAGTCCAATCTGGTCTTCTATAACTTGTCTCCATTCTTCTTTCCAACTTCACATCTTGATTTTTCTCCCTACCCTCTGGGCTCCAATGGGCTAGTTGTCATTTTCCTCTCAAACAACACACATTCACATGGTCATCCAAGAGTTTTCCTGATGCTTTTGGTCATCTCTTGGGATTCTTTTATGTGTTCCCTCTTTTAAAAGATTGCTTCTACCTTCATTTCAACAAGATTTTCCCTACTATTTGTTCCCTCAATAATTTCCCTCTTCCCTTCCTTAGAGCTCTGTTTTACCACTAAATCTTATTATCAAGTCTTAATATTATCTGGTTTATATTGAAGAGTTTTGCATTTTAGAACTCATATTATTTTATTCTATAATTTAAATGAAATCAAAAGCTTCATTGAAGTCAGGGACTGTGTCTTCTCTACAGGGCCATTAATGTACCAGTTATATATAGGAATCAATAAATAAGATATCCAATAAGTTTTTATGCATATATATATGAGTATTAATTTAATTAACATGTACATAGTATTTACAGTCTATTTATTTATCTGTCTGCTAAATTTTATTTAAAGGGCCTTATGTAAGTAATCATAGTTTGTCACATAATTTTTTAAAAAAATTTATAAACGGTCAGAGAACAAATCACTTTCTTAGTACTGCAAAAATCAGCAGAAATCAAAATAAATATTATATTATTTGATTTTAAATTATAGAATTTTTATAATTAAATTATATCTTTTGTTTCTTTTCCAGGCATATATAATACATAATAAAATAATGCATTTTTAAGAACTTACAGAAGAAAATTCATAGGCTACTAAACCAGTTTCTAATACCTAGATATATCCCAATATCCCAAACTAATTTCAAATGAAGACCTAAAGAAATGAGAAAAATTTACCTGATTCCTCACTTTTGTGACTATCCTAGATTCAATTTAATGGAATATTTTATGTTTTTCAACTTTATTTCCTTGAACTACTTTAGAGCATTTCAAGTTTTATTTTAAAATACTTTACTCAGTACAAAGAAATATTTAATATAAGAAGAAGGCAAAGGTTTTTCTCCACCTTCAAAAATTTCACTTAAAAATGGTTTGTGTTGTTTGTTAATTACATGATTATAAGTGTAACTGCACATATTTTGGAATTATTAGTAAATGGCCTTATCTCATACTAACATGAACATTAAGTATAAAACATTAAGAATAAAATTTGAAAGTACATGAATTCCAGGTAATAAATAACCTTTTTTATTGTAGTGATGAATAACTAACATTTACCACAGAAATATTGACTGATAAAGTACAATTCTGTTGCTGATTATGACCAAACCAAACAATATCATGTTATTTAAAGAAAATAAGAGAGGAAAATGGAAAAGTTGTCAGTGACATTGCTTTATGGCTAAGTTTAATGCCATTAACACTGTTTTGAAAATATTAATGCTTAAAACTTTTTGCACCAAAACCTGTTTAGATGTCTTAAAAGACCTTTAAAATCAAAATTTTATATCCTTGCTCACTTAATGGTTTAATTTTATTTGATGTTTCAAAGGTACCTAAAATTTTTTGAAAAGCATAAAAAGGAACTCATGTTTTAACTGTATAAAATGATAATCACACTGTAAAACCAATCCATTATTAAATTTATGATCTCATATAATATCTTAAGGATTTAAATAATTTTTGGCAATTTAAAATAGTTGTTAATCTAGAAATTGATTCTTCTTCTTCTTTTTTTAAAATGATTTCACTTGTTTAGAGAGAAAGAGTAAATGGGGGAAAGGACAGAGGGAGAGAGAACCTCAAGCAGGCTCTGCACTGAGTGTGGAACACGGACATGGGGCTTGATCTCATGACCCTGCGATCATGACCGGAGCCCAAATCAAGAGTCAGATGCTTAACCAACTGGGCCACCCCGGCCCCCCTAGAAGTTGATTCTTAATTGAATCTCTTTAGTAAGATTCCAGAAGCCTAAATAAAATAAAAGGATAAAAAAATTTAAGAAAAACTATCTGTATTTGCTGGGAGAGTAAAATAAAAAAAAAAAAAAGGAGACAGTATCACCCGTGACACTGAGAGAAAATTTGCTCGGGTATTGCATAAGTTACCTGGAGGATACTGATATCTTTCTCAGCAGCAATGAGAAAGGACCCCATCCTGGAGGGTAAAGAATTATCAAAGTGTCTGCCATGATATTAAAGAGTCTTTGTAAGTAATAAAAGCAAAACCAAACCAAACTGGGAACAAATCCTCATCCTGCAAATGCCTCATGGCACCTAAGTATTAGAAGAGGTACAATCCGGCCATTTTTCTCTTTCCTTTATTCCCAGGCTTGGGGGCTGCATAATTGAATCTATGGTGAATCTGGGCCCATGGCTATCTATTTCTTTCCAGTAAGAGGGCTGGAAGCCATGAGTACTGATAAGATTGCTGTACATTCTTTTTGAAATACACAGGGACACTATACATTCTTTTAGAATTAATGTTAAAGGAAACCTTATTAATATAATAAAGCCTAGAATCCATTCATTTTGATCTACATCATATAGTCTTAAATCAGTTTTTGGCTTAAAACTCATTTGTTTGGTTCTTTAAAGCTGTGTTATTTTCTAGAAGGAAACTAGAATTTTATGGCATGCACGACAAACCAGGATTACCCAGCCCCATGTAAGAATCACAAACATGCTCAGCCAGAAGAACTTGGAGGTCCTGCCTGGTGAGTGTTTTCTAGGTGAGTAGCCTTCAGAACTCTGTAGCTCATACCTTCTTTACATGAGGAGGGGCATGATGTCCAGTCACTATATGGTGTCACAATACAGTCCTTCCTACAAGGAAGCAGACAGGGTCTCACTGTTTCAGGTCGAAGGCTTTCAGGACACCTAGAAAATGCAAAGGGAAATTACTTTGCCTCTTTGGTAACCCAAAAAACCAGGTAATTTAGTACCTTTAAATCTTTCATTACTAAAATTGCTAAACAGTCACCAACCTGTATTATTTAACTTCCAGGAGCCTGTTTGTTTTTGCTAAGAATTTTACAACTAAATTAATTCTTCCAAACTAGACCTCAATAAAGCTTCTCAAGTCAGGATGTATAAATTTAATAATAGTAATTGTGCTACTAGAACAAAATGTAATAATTATACCTTATCCCCTTATAAAAATCTCTCCATTAATAAATACATATTTTCTAACTTGCTCTATAAGAAATTTGTGGAAATTCAAATTACTAATTTAAGGACAAATTCTGCATCTTTGTATAAATAAATAGGCTTATTGCTGATTATAAGTTTCCAGATTATTCTACACTTTATTTTTACAAAATATGTGTGGCATAAAATAAATTTATAATGGAGTATATCCAATACACAGTACATGCTCAAAGAGGACTATATTTATAGCTGTATATTTCTTAATAAATAACAAAATAATAAAAGTATATAGAGCATTATGATAAGCAGTTTTTTGCTTTACTCATGGTTTCATTTAGTGTCTCTATTCTTATTTTTTCTTCCATGCTGTCCCCAGTTTCAAATTATCCCAATTATGGGATTTTAAGTATATTCATAAATTAAAATATTTTGGGGACAAAAAGAGTGAATATAATTAAAACAAAAATTGTCAACCAGTAATTCAAAGAAAAATAAAATACTGTGTTTTTGACAAATTATAGTAAAACTATTTTCAAAAATACAGCAAACATCTATTATTTATTAGGAACACAAGAGAAAGATAATGAGAAAACACAAATGTCTTACTTTATACAAGAGTTTTTACTTTTTTTTTCTTTAAGATTTTATTTATTTATTCAACAGAGAGAGACAAAGCAAAAGAGGGAACACAAGCAGGGGGAGTGGGAGAGGGAGAAGCAGGCTTCCCGCTGAGCAGGGAGCCCGATGCAGGACTCGATCCCAGGACCCTGGGATCATGACCTGAGCCGAAGGCAGATGCTTAACGACTGAGCCACCCAGGCACCCAAGAGTTTTACTTTTTAAAAGGTAACTATAGGAAGCTGATGTAAGAGTTTTAAGTATACTGTCTTGTTGATTGTATACTTAAGTGATTTTTAAGTTTCCTAATTCTTCCCTGTATCTTCAAGATCTGATTCTACTATTGCTAGTGGTCAAATACTGACCACTAGCATTAACACTAGAAGAGGATGTATATTAAGGACAACAAAACATAATAGCCTAATTCATATAACTAAAAGTAACTTATTGTTCTGATTCCTAAGGAGTTCTCTTTTGAGGTCATATAAATCTCTGACAAGGAAGCTAAGAGGCAGTGAAGAAATAAACCAAACCACTAGTATTATTAGTTGCTGGAATAACGTGGCAAATTAGTGAAAAATGGGATTTAAAAATACTCCCAACGGGAGAAGCCAAATTTTCTGTAGGTCAGGATAAATTGTCTTTTAACAAGTAAGTTAATCAGGTTTTCACAACTGAACTATGAGTGAAAAAAAAAAATCAACATCATTAATCTCCTTTCCATAATTTCTTTGTAACACTTTGCTGACACTTCACTTCTTATATAACTTGTATTACACTTATTTATCTACATGTTCCATCTCATACATAAATGTTATGTTCTATTCAAGTATACAGATACATGCTTTCCTCTCTCACTCTGTATCACTAGAGTTTATTTGGAAGAGGATTTGAAAAATATATTGGACTCAAGATTTCAAAAAGAAATCATCACCCTGGTTTATGGTTTTTTTTTAAAGAAGAGTTACTATCCTATTAAAGATTTTAATTAATTAATTAATTAATTAGACAGAGAGATAGCAAGAGAGGGAACACAAGCAGGGGCAGTGGGAAAGAGAGAAGCAGGCTTCCCGCTGAGCAGGAAGCCCGATGCGGGGCTCGATCCCAAGACCCTGGGATCATGACCCGAGCCGAAGGCAGATGCTCGATGACTGAGCCACCCAGGCGACCCTCCCTGGTTTATGTTGAGGATAACCTTGGATTTTCCTAATTGCTAGGACAACAAAGAAATTTAGATGTGAGTCACAGAAGTTATGAATTGTTACAACTGAACTTATAAATAACTAGAATTATAATTTAACCTGTATTCTTAGCCAGGAAACATTGTATGGCAAACCCCGCATATAATACTGTTAATTCTTTTGGAATTATGGAATTATTGATTAGTTCTTATTATTGCGGGCACTTCTTTTCAATGAAGCAATTTTACAACTTTAATAATGGGAGAGCATTCATAGCAAACTCTTCAAATTTTAGCCCTTTATAAATCAATGGAATTTACAATGTTATCATTGACAACCTCCAAAACTCTTTTAGTTTAGAAATATCCACGGCAAGATACTTGGCTAGCTGTGGAGAACAAAATTACTAACAACAAAGCCGCTAAATGAACACACAAAGATAAATTATACAGCCTAGATTACATCCAATAAAATGAATTCAGACTTCCTTTGGCAAAGCAATTGGTTCAGTCAACATGCTTCTTTTCTCCTTTGTAGTGTTTCTATTTAGTGTTTGTGGTTTAAATCAAGGAATTGATTTCCCCCCAAATCTTATTCAAGGTCAAATTAAACAGATGTGATAGGAGTTGAAGTTTGTTACTCGGAGGATAGATAAGATCAATAACATTGATTTTACCATTGCACAGTAATCTGTTTTATTAAGAGGAGTTTAAAACAATGTTTCTATTTGCATTTTTGTTTCAAATGCCTAGCACTGAAAAGCATTCGCTGAATTTAACCTAGCTTTTAGGGATGAGGGCAGTAACAACACCTTCTTCTGGTTTCACAATATTTGCTTAATTTTTCAGAACTTTAATGGCAAAGTAAATCCATTTAATTTGACAAATCTATACACGTATCCAGGTCATTGAATAAAGGCTGTAAGGGCAAAGCAAATTTTTAATTGATTATTGTGGTGGCTTGACATAGGGCTTCAGGATACCCTTCCTATTGAATGATTTAATGACATTAATCCATCAGGCTCTTTCACACATAGGTTTATACAAATGTATACCTATTGTTTAGCAAAAACAGTCTGTAACTTGGAAAAGTGAGGAAAATATCAACAGCGGTATTTGTAGGTGATAACTGAGGATCAGGAACAGACTGAGCTCACTTGTAGCAGCTCAGCATAATAACCCTCAATCCTGTGCCAGTTTGGTCAGGTTATAATCCTCTGCAGGGAATATTTCTACCTGCATGCTTGTCCCAGCAAGACCCAGAATCTTCCAGGACTTGGCACTTCAGCCCCTGCTGTTACTGCCAGAGACTTTTAATACACTGCACATTAACTTCCTGTGTTACATTGTTTCCAACTTCAGCATTATTTCTCTTAAAATAGTGGTTTGGGGCTACCTATTAAGGATGTGGAATAGTTTCTCAATTTATTCAAGTCATCTGGCATATATTTTCTAATGTTTCAGAATTTCAAACTATATAATCAAATGAAGTATGGGGCAAAATATCCTTAATGTCTGGAACCCTGGCCACGTAAAAACAACTCCTAATGGGATTATTGTTTATCCCCTGAAGTTTTCCATACATCAGGTACATTATTATCATTTCCCTGAAACACTAGGAAAGATCTCAAATTTTTAAGAGAAAATAATACTCTCCCAGATTTATTGAGTGCTTGTATTATTATTTTTTTTTATTAAATCCTTTCAATAAACTTTGAAAACTAAGGCCAGAATCGGTTAAGGAGCATGCTTAAGGTCACATATAATATTGAAGCACCTGGCCTAATATTTGGAAATTACCAGGCCGTTTTTATACCAGTGCAAAACTGACTGGTTTGACTTTCCATGTTTCACATGGCTAAGGAGATTTGAATTCTAAAAGATTTATGCTGTCTATATCTCAAAAGATAAAAGTGTTTTTATTCCCCCCTTAAAGGAATACGTTTTTGGAGCTGATTTATTAATTTTCTCGAAGAATTGATTAGTTCAGTTATGCCCTGACATGTTTTCGTTTATATTTCTCACAGGGCACGTATAATATGCCAACTCCCTGGTTCTTTGTCTTCCCCTCTAGCAAATCGTTTGCCTTGTTATTACACTATTTGTAACCACGGTGAGAAACTGATGATTTTTCTACTTATCATAACACTCATCCTATCCCAAGGCTCTCTCTTGGAAGTAAATGGCTTATTCATCTAACCATTAAAAGATGTAATAAGTTTGGCCTCAGTATTTTTGATATAGTATTTTCTAGGGGAAATGAAAGGCAGATCATAGAAGGCTAGAGCCCAATTAAACTCGATTGGCAGACTTGATAGCCTACGGATACATAGGAGGTCATGGATGACCTGCACTGCTAGGACTTCATCTACTGTCATTATTGATCAGCCAGGCCCAGAGCAAGCATTCCTTTCACAGCCTCACTAGCTTAATAAAAGGAGGGAGGGCTACTGTAAAACTGAAAGTGGGTACCGCATAGAAATATTTCTACAGAATTTATAGATCCCAGGTACAAGACTCCGGCACAGTTACAACTTTATCAGCGGCTGACATTCAAAACAAACAAATCTTACTCTTGAGGACAGGTGTGACAAACATCAAAATGCTTCATTTCATGGAGCAAGTGAAGCCTGAGCCAATCCCCTGCATGGTTGACCACAGGATTTACTGTTCTCATTCTAAAGCCCTTACTTTTTGGGTCCTACTTGGCCCACATTGACCCGCACACAGATGACTTTTCTTGTCTGCATGCCAACAGAGCAAGAGGCCTCCCCATTCCAAGTTGTGGTTGTGTTGAAGGATGATACTGAAGTGTCCTCGATGCACTGGCCCCAGGGACCAGTTTGCCAGTGGTACACAGTACAAGGATGCTCATTACAGCTGCGCACCTCTTGCAAAGCACTGCTATTTGGACATTGAGCTCCACCTGTAAAAATGGACAACATAAGAGGGTTAGATATGGTGCCAACAGGAAACTTACCATTCTTTCCTCTTTGGAATTAACAATAACAATGATACCTGCCATGTGGTAGCACATACCATGTGACCAGCACAGTGCTAGGAAGGCAAATTACATATTTATCTTATATCTTTTGGCACCTTCCGGCTTAAAATTTAAGCTATGTAGTATGCATATTTGTTTTGGGGGACTATGGAGGACCTCAAAGACAGAGGCCATTATCCTCCAAAGAAGTAGACAATGAGGTACAAATGGAGCCTAGGGATTGCTCACTAATGGAAACACGGGGATTGAGATTCTGTGGATGGAGAAAACCCAGTGTGTTTTCAAATGTTAGCCCCCAAATTGAAAATCTTAAATACATGGTTTGAAGTAAGGCATATTTTAATGTATGAAGCTTTAGGGTGATTAGAAACAGGGGTTTAAAATCAACTGATGCTGTCTGATCTTCCACAGTGCTACTGGAAAAGCCATGTAATAACGATAATACCATGTTTCTTCCAATCTAGGATGTCATTGGCTGTTAAGATATATTATCATTTTGTGTGTCAAAGAAAGAGCAATGGCTACAAGTTAAACTGTGATACACTGCTTCCTTATCAATCATAATTTTTACTGTATGCTTACTGAAATAGATTTGTAGGATTTATTTACATGGTTTTAAAAAAATATATCACTCAATTGCACACATTAAAAGGGAAGACATTCCTAAATGTCCTTTACATTCAGAGTCTGAATCTTCTGAGCCACTTTTAACCCACACTCATCAAAGTTTGCCCTCCTATACAGAGTCATCCCTCTGGTATCAAAAGTGTTGTGGGCGCCTGGGTGGCTCAGTTGGTTAAGCGACTGCCTTTGGCTCAGGTCATGATCCTGGAGTCCTGGGATCAAGTCCCGCATCGGGCTCCCTGCTCGGCAAGGAGTCTGCTTCTCCCTCTGACCCTCCTCCCCCTCATGCGCTCTGTCTCTCATTCTCTGTCTCTCAGATAAATAAATAAAATCTTAAAAAAAAAAAAAAGTGTTGATGATGCAGCATTTTTTTTTTTTTTTTAATGCTCCCTATTGTCTCTGGGGCTTTCTTCCAGGATACTGGTACCCATGTCTAAGTTTTGATGCTGGTGCATTCTTAATTGCACCAGAAGATGTCAACAAAAGACTTCAGCAAGCAACTGAGGACTGTTTCTTAGCTGGTTTTGTTTATTTTTGGCAGAAATATCATGGACTCGCTATTGCCACCAGGAACAGGTACTAGCAATGGCAGCGAAGTTATTGCTATCTGGCTGCCGTGGCTTTAAGACGCATCTATTGTAAGATGCAATAACTACAGAGAAGGTAAAAGGGACGTGTCTTTTAATCAATAGAATATGGTGTGAAGTTGTCATTATGGAACCATTTTTTATGTGCTAGCCCTTATAAGTACTTTGTAGGGGGGACCTCGTTTTACACCCCAAACTGCCTTACAAGTTAAAAATGATAAAGTGGATGAGCCAATACAACTTAGATGATGTAATGGTAATAGCTCAGAATTTATGGAGCCCAATTTCTTACCACTATGCTATTTATAATGCCAATTACAAAAATAAAAAGCTTTATATTGTTTAAAACTGAGTAGGAGGAATTTATAGTTTATTTTATTGATAATTTAATCTATTTGAATTTATGTAGCCTTTGGATTTAATCTGTTTGAACCTAGTAGCCTTTTGAATTTAAGAACAGAAAATACTTGGTTGTTGGGGCACCTGCGTGCCTGTCAGTTGGGTGCCTGACTCTTGATTCTGGCTCAGGTCATGATCTCAGGGTCCATGATCTTGGAGCCCCGAGTCAGCCTCCATGCTCATCAGGGAGTCTGCCTGAGGGTTCTTTCTCTCTCCCTCTGCCCCTCCCTCTACTTTCTCTCTCTCTCAAATAAATAAAATCTAAAAGAAAAAAAAAAAGAAAAAAAGAAAATACCTGGTTGTTAAATAAGAAAAGGTGATTCAATAGCTAGTGATCCTCACATGGAAGATGGTCCCAAAATTTGAGATATGGGTAAAAGTCATAAACAAAACCATACCCTGAGATGATCTTTATTTATCGCTTCACTTATGATTAAGTACATCCCTCTAATTCAGCAAATAAATTGGTAGGCAGTGTCTATGAGAATTTAACTGCAATTCAGAATCATTTATACAGTGTTGAACATGGGATCAACATCAGAATAACCTGCATTAAGCAGCATTTCATTAAAGTCCCCTGCTTCATGATGGTGCAAACATCTGTCACAGATGATAGCCTGCCTTCCATCACACAGCTCAGTGACCCTGGCAGCCTCTGAAAAGTTTAGGATTTGACTAGGAATGGATTCTAAAGCATACTAATTGGATCGGGGAGAAGTAAATGAGCACTCTTATAACCCATTCCCTGAGGCTCTAAGATTCATCCAATCTTATCTCTAAGACAAACACCTAATTACAGACATTAAATATATACATTTTATGTAACCATTTTAACCATACCTTTATATTTAATAGTAAAATGATTGGTCTTTTACGAAAAAAGCATTTATTTACCTCATTTTCACTGTGGGCGTATGTATACTGTTTAAACTGTGATTCTAAAACTCTTGAATTTTATTTTTTTATTTATTTTTTAATTTTTTTTTTAAAGATTTTATTTATTCATTTATTTGAGAGAGTGAGAGAGAGAGCACATGAGAGGGGGGAAGGTCAGAGGGAGAAGCAGACTCCCTGCCGAGCAGGGAGCCCGATGTGGGACTCGATCCCGGGACTCCAGGATCATGACCTGAGCCGAAGGCAGTCACTTAACCAACTGAGCCACCCAGGCACCCTCTTGAATTGTTTTTGACGTTGGAATTGACTCGTTGGTTTTGGAAGATCTGGTAGGAGAAAAACTTCTACAACATCAGTGTAACGTGTCAAGGAACAGCAAGATGGCTGTTAAGTTTACAGACATAAAGGCTATTTATTTTCTTGCCCCAATCCACATTAAAGCCACATCAGCAGTTTTGGTCTGATGTCAAGATACTTGTGCAGATAAGCCCCAGTGTGGTCTTAATTATAACAACGATATGGCAATTTTGAAAGCATGGCTTGGGGTAATCAGTCATTGCAGCATCGTCCTGTTGTTTTGGGAATAATTTTACGGTAGAAAAATTGATAGATATAATATTGAATTTATTTATTATTTATGGGAAGATCTAATTCCAGACATGTGGGAATATTTCCATAGTACTGGGGAAATTATAAAATGTCCCCTATGACAAAATTAGTAATAAATGGTATTTTAAAAAAATCCTCAGACACATAAAAATATATGCTTCATACTAATGTGACTATATAGGCTTTCTATCATTCCATCAAGTGGAAAGACTTTATACTTTGATGAAATTCTACTGTATAGGGCACCTGGGTGGCTCAGTTGGTTAAGCGACTGCCTTCGGCTCAGGTCATGATCCTGGAGTCCCGGGATCGAGTCCCGCATCAGGCTCCCTGCTCAGCAGGGGGTCTGCTTCTCCCTCTGCCCTCTTCGCTCTCTGTCTCTCATTCTCTCTCTCTCAAATAAATAAATAAAATCTTAAAAAAAAAAAAGAAATTCTACTGTATAAATAAATGTCCCTGCTTATATAAAAATACCAACTATTATATGTGAAACTTCTCTTATAAAAATGAAAAAGTGACTTTTCCTTTCCACATCAAGCCTATAAAAGCTGTGTTAACATACATTTGAACAGAGCTGTGGTGTTTCTGGTTCCGGCATTGAAGTTCTTATAATTTAAACGGCAGATTGAAAAGATAAAAGAACCTTTTTCAAAACATTAATTGGATACATTTATATTGAGTTCTATAGTATGCAATGTTTATGTCCAATACTCCAAGAGACAGATACCCACAGGGGTTAGAAATAGTTTTTGCTGCTCTGAAGGATCTTCTAAGGCAGTGAGGAAAAGTAGTAGGGTGGGCAAGCATACAAATGGGTATAATTTTAGGCAGAATACAGTAATCACATTAAAAGAGGTAGCATAATTGAGATTCAAAAGTTTAAGTTTCCATTAGTTTTGGGGCGACTGAAAAATGCCTCAGTAGGAGGCACTGAGGTGAGTTTCGAAGGAGTAGGATTTTGACAAGCAGCATTCTGGGAAGGGAGAGAAAAAGGGAACATTTTACTTAAGCAGAGGAACAAATAAAAGCTAAGGCATGCAGGCAGGTATGACGCTGGGAACTAGCAATATTGATGCAGTCCACCGGAGTACCAAGCTCACACAGAGAAGTAACAGGCAATAAGGAAAAGAAAGTGGACGGGCTCATGCTAAGGAGTGGCTATTAGCGTACTATGAATTACAGCTTTAAAATGCTTGTAGTTTTGCCTGCTTATTGCAGCCCGGATCCCTTTGACAGCAGACCACCCCTGGGCAAAAAGCACACGGGCAATGGCATGATTTCAGGGAACGGAAGGGAAGAATGTTAGCCACACAGAACCTCAGAAGATTCTGCTGTAGCACACCATCCTTAATCCCTGCCTCCCCCCCCACCCCCGCCTTTGTTTTCCCTGCAGAGAGAGGAAGAAGACATTCCACTGTGAAGTCCGCATAAATTTTGTGTGGTGGTTGTGGTTATGCAAGGACAGACTGAAACAGAACTCCTTTTTCAAAGTCAAGAATGGGAGGATAGGAAGTGACAGTACTTTTACTTGGAAGGCAGAATTCCGTGTGTATATACATAGATAGTGGATTCTGGATTCTTCAAATTCATCCAGGAATAAAAGTGCTCCTTGGCTTTTAGGATTAAAACCCTTTAGCTGTGAAAACCCAAAGTTAATTCCTCTCCTCAATGTTTTATACTTTAAAATATAATTTTTGAAGACTGCTAATTATTTGAGAAAAAATTGGCATAATTCTATTTCAGTTTGCATCTATTTCTGTATTTATAAAGCAGGTGTAAAGATGCACTAACATTTGGCTGATGAAGTTATAATATCAGGTCATTTTGAACTTTCAAAAAAAAATCCTCTCATTTCTTGCTCTGTAAGGATAATTAACTATGTAATGAAGTTGTTATTATACTCAGTGGAAAACATTTTGAAAATCATTTTTTCTTTTTAAACATGGTTTCAAAAAATTCATAAGGCTTTAAATCTAACACCAATTTTTAAATTTCTTATTCAAATTCAACATACTAGGTTTTATATTAAATTTATGCCAGGCTGAAGTGTTAAAAGATTGCTACCTTCCAGATCTTCCCAACACAATTTTTTTTTTTTTCAGGGCAAATAACATCTGCACCTTTATCCCCACACTGGGTGGTTAGGCCTGAGACACTAACGAATCATTCTGTAAAACCCAAAGGAAACAAGGGGCAAGTGCAAGTCCAGGGAATAGGTCAAGGTCACACAGAAAGGTCACTGTTACGAAAATGCTCCTGGTCATACACTTCAGCCACCACTTTGCTGCCAGCAAACCAGCACGTGTTGAGGGCCTGGATGGTCTTGTGAGTCTCAGAGGCTATGGAAAACTGCACAAAAATCTTGATATGAATTCTGCATCCTCCTCCTCGAATAATTTTAAAGTAGCTTTTGGGACCCACGCTAGAGTTTACCCAAAACAAGGAAGATTTTTACCTGGAGGTATCATACAATGTTAAAAAGTGAAATACCAATTTTATATAACTACACACACACACACACACTTTTGTTTTTTTAAGTTGAAAAGAAATATTTTTACTTTCTTCAGTATATTAACTATCTCTAGTTGCTACCATTTGTATTTGCTTTCCAAATGACATTTGGATAAGAATCATTTTGTGATAACTTTTGTGTATTGCTAATAATAGGTTATAAAGTGTTCCTCAGACTGCATGAAAAGCAATTATATTCAAATTGTTTTTATCAATTTTTTATGTTTTAATTTTGAACCAAGCTCAAAATTACAAGAAAACTGGAAGTATATTATCAATATTTTCCTCCCTGGATCATTTGGACAAAGTTGTTGAAATGATGCCCCACTACCCTAAATACTTAAGTGTTTATTTCCTATAGTCAAGGGCATTTTGCTACACATAAACGCATTCAATATTCAAGATCAGGAAATTAGGAAACAAACAATGATACATTATTACCATCTAATCCTCATACCTATTCAAATTTTCCAACTGTCCCAAAATAATCTTTTTATAGTGAAAGACTCTAGTTCAGAATCAGGTGTTGCATTTAAACATCATGTTTTGGTAATCTCCTTCAATCTGGAATAGTTCCTCAATCTTTCCTTAATTTTCATGATTAAGTGCTCCTTGGCTCTTTGGGATATTAAAGACCAGTTACTATTTTTCAATGTTTTTCAATTAGGATGTTTCCTCATGATTACATTCTACAATATGCATCTTTGACAGGGATGTCACTGACTTGATGCCAGTTTATCATTGCATCACACCAGGAACACATAATTTTTATTTGCTCCATTACCAACAATTTAAATTTTGATCCTTGGATTAAGGTGGTGTCTGTCTAACTTCTCCATGAGAGAGATACTCGAGACTAAATAAAACGCTCTTGGTTAGATGTTCAATTAATACATCTATTTATATCAAATATGGATCCATGGTTTCCTATTTTATGTAATGGGTTATAATCTGTCATTAATATTATTTTGGCATTTTTATTGTGGGCTCTGATAACCCACTCTGAACCACTGAAGCCCCCCCACCTGCTGAGACAGATGCTCAACTGCTTGACTCCACCTAATGACTTTTTAGATAAAATCGTTCAGGAGCAGAGAGCAAGAGCCTAGAAAGAAAGGGAAGGGAAGGAAAGGGAAAGGAAGAGAAAGAACTATAGTATGGGGAAGAGGATGTGTTATCTGTATCCTATCATTTGTGTAGTAGGAACAAAAAAATAATCGATAAAAGTCATAACATTTCAAAAATGGAGAAGCTTGGTTTATCTCCTGAATTGGGGGCATAGAGAATATTCCTCTATCATATATCTATGATGTAGACAGACAGATGGAGACACACACATGGCAGACACCCATACCATAAGAAGACTAAGTAAATCAGGGGTAAGACCAGGAGCTAGCACTCCTCTTTCTCCAGCACACTAGGATTATATTTTCCCCACCCCACGCCATGACTGAAGTCAGGTTCAACTTCAAGCCATGAGTGTATGATTTGTTTTGCCAACGAAATGTCAGTAGAAAGGACATAAGTCACTCCTGTATGGAAGAGCTTAATGCTGAGGCTTTGAAATCAGCAGACAGACCCTCCAACTACCTTCTTCCACTGGCATTGGGGGGTAGGTCTTCGTATGGAGGGGCATGCTGAGACATTTCGCGGAGGGCAGACTGCCTTGGAAAGTTACCCAACACCATGGCAAAATTCCCATAAGGAAGGAATAAATTTCCCTTTAAGATTTTGAGCTTCTGAGCTGTTCTTATTAATACAAGAGGCTATATAATCTTCAGTATAATGTTCAACAGTGAAGTTATGACTGAGATAAATAAAAGTTAATCTTTTATTTTGTGAAGCAGCATTGATTTTGTAAGTCCAGATTAATACTTTGCACATGGGTTTGTAACTTACTTCACCAGAAAACTGTATGTCTAAACACTCAATATGTAATTTTAATAATGTGACCTTTTCCCTTAAGGTTATCACAGTAATTTCCTGATTTAGAAAATTTAGAACATGTTCGACACATATAAAACATTAATTCTTGGGGAAAAATAGAAAGACCTACTTTTGTGTAGAATTATAAAGTGTTATCTAATCAGCAGGGAAGCAAATTTTAAAACTTCCTGCAAACAAAGTTTTTAAGTAATTTTAAAAATAGCTCAAAATTGGGAGACTTATTTTGTGAAAGATAAAATGTTCCAGTGTCCAGCAAATTAATAGGTACTAAATAGTGTTTGAAGGGCAGATTCCTCTTTAAGTATCTCATATAATTATACCAGTTTTTGTAACTGTTATTAACAGAGACAAGCAGCATCGGATTCTCCCCTGACAGCTTCCTGTACGGTTTCCCTTTAAAATTATGTTTTGAATTCATGCCTTTATGATTTACCATATAAACATCTATAATTTTCCAGCACGGCCTGCTTATGATGCAGCTACTAGACTTAATTAAAAATTATCGAAGTCTCACCCTTTCAAACTAAGTGGATGATACATATCAAAGAGCAATCATAAATTTCTGCCTTTAAAGCATTTCATGACCTTTCAGTGTGAAGCATCATGTCTATAGAAATAATGATCTGGTGAGTTCTGCAAGCATGGCAAAATCTCTGCCATGTGACTCACGGGGCGAAAAGTCACGCATTACTAGTCACACAGCAAGTGTCTGCAGAGTATAATAGATTTATAGGAAGCAGGGTGACCACAGATCTAATTTTAATGAAGTCCAAGACATAATCTGAGCTGATAGAGTTTGAAGTCTGAATATAATCCATACAAGGTTAGAGTTATTGTTTGATAAGATGAGGAATGTAACTTTCTAAAAGGTTCTATCTTTTTTATTTGGTTCCAGGATACACTTTTTTGGGGGTAGCAAATGGTTAAATTTATAAGGTGACTGGAAAAAGGTTTATAGACACTTTAAAGAAAATTCTAAATTTTTCTATAGGTTGACTATGTCAAGTTTGCTAAATTTTTCTCTCTGTCTTCAGACCAAGAGGGTTACATTTTTGCATAGCTATTATATTCACAGATAGCAAGTTTGACCAAATAAAAATGCTATCAGGTTTCTATCACTAAAATGTTTCATAAATAGAAAAATAAAACTGGCGGCTTAAAAACTCCTCCACAATGTCTTATTTGGGGATATACACAAAGAAACACATGCATTTTACAAAAATCATTAGTTATTCGTGCTAAATGTGAATGAGAAGTCATTCAGCTTGATAATGTTTAAATAATATACATCTATACTCTTGAGAAAGAACATTAAGTGATAGAACTTGATGACTTCTCTGTTTTTCTTATTCCTGTGTTATCCTCAAGAATGACAAGATTATGTATGACATCATATCACTGAGTCACACAGAGGCCTAATTAGCATTTGGATGTAAGCTTGAGAGATAATTACCAAGAGCCTTATATTTCTCGACAATAAAGTTTACAAAAGTGAGGTATGACTATATGGCAAAGCATGGTTTATTCCCCCACTAGGATGAGGTAGGTGATTAAGGAGCAGTATACTTGAAAAATGAACACAACCTACATATGAGACTTTCGGATCTCAGAGCCTATGTTCAGAAACACAAATGGCAGAAAATCCATGTAATTTTCAGTCAAGTAATAGTCATGCTGGTGTTGCTTTAAAAACAAAACAAAACACTTTTATTATTGAACATATATGCCTATTTATGAGAAGGCAGAATGTGATTTCAAAGGGAAAAACTGACTACTGCAATAGTGAAAAAATAATCACACCTGACATCTGGAATTTTGGGAGTCATTTTCATACTGTTTCACAGGTTTAGCATTCAAACTGGAAAGCAATTCTTAGGAGAGAGGAAAGGCAAAGTAAGTTTACTTTTAAAAGTGTTTCCTCTTTTATTAAAGATCTATTTTCAAGGTTAATTTTGGGGACCAGAAGTTGCTCCATAGGTCAACAGACATTAAATTTCCTTGGATTGCTGGGATTCTGGGAGTAGATTTTTTGTACAGCATCACCTTAACCCCAGAAGACCAGAAAGGAAAAAAAAAAAAAAAAAAAAAAAGCCTGCCAACATCTGAAAGGAATCTAAATCCCCTTCTGAAGCTGGTGACCAATCTTACCTTCCTCACCGGCATAGGCCAGAATGGACCGTGCCCGGATCTGTTTCCCTTCTGTGGTTTTCCCTGAGCAGGTGTGTGAGCAGGAGGACCACGCAGACCACATGCTGAGCACACAGTCCTTTGGGCACGGGGCGTAACAGGCAACAGGGATGGGGAAGATGGCATCTCTGCACAGCTGTCTGTCAACTTCTTCTCCTGGGGAAGACATCATCACGAACAATCCATCATTTTTAAATAAATGTAGAATGAGCGATTGTAACCAGATGGGCACCAAAATACATTAGGTTATTTTGTTCTTAGTTAAAAACAAAGCTAAAACAAAGCCCACTACAGCCAGATGTTAAAAGAACATGAGGAATAAATATGTATCCTTAAGTGAAGCTTCTTTTATTATCAGAAGCTTAGGTGTGTAGATCAAGCACAGTGCTGAAAGTATTTTTTACTATAGATAGTTGCCCAGTTAGTGACTTTTATATTTATAATATTAACCTTGCAATAAGGAGCATCAATGAATTATGTTCCCCTTTTTATTGCATTATTGGAAATGTATCATTTACATCATCTTTTACAAATAACACCTCTATCCATAGCATGCACTGTATGTTTTCATGAACCAACTCAGGTATCTCTGCAAACTCCCTGTGTCTCCCAGAGAATTTATTTTTGTATGACTGGCAACCTTTTTTCTTTCACAAACAATTACTCTGTTCGTTGGAAATAGCCAAGATATGTAAATGATAGGCTAACAATATAAAACTACTGTTTAAGGGGTCCCACTGGGAGAGGGGGAGAAAAATGACAAGGTAAGCAAATGGCAGAAGATGGTGTCACTCCAGCGCTTAAAACTCTTCAGTAGTTTCCTGTTGCTCTTAAGATAGAGATAAGAGTTCTTAAATGTTTACAAGACCTCAAACGACTTGGCTCTGGTTTCTCTTCCCAGCTTCATCTCAGTCCACTCCCTCCCTTGCCCAGAGAGCTCTAGAAATTGGCATTGCTTGAGTATTTGTTGAATGAATACGATGAGATTATACAAAAGTCCAATGAGCAAAAAAACGTCTTTGTGGTTAATAAATGCCAAAGATAACTAAAAGGATTACAAATAAATGACCAAAATAGAATATGAAATGAACTCTATGCTTTCGCTGGTTAATGTAGGGTGCCAATGACGTCAGTGTAACCGAGCAAAACAATACACACACAAGCAAAAGTTGATCTACTATTTTGCCACAAAACATGACCATAATTCTGCAAAAATATATCACAGATGTGTGCCTTGGGCCATTACACTTTCAGGTGAGAAAGAGTGACTAATTATGCTACTCTTCATTGCTATTAGAAAAACAACTCAGAAATGTTTTTCACTGACGGAAGGCTAGGAGCATTGTGTTAATGTCCTTTATTCATATATTTGAAAAACAAGACAGAAAATCAGAAGTCAACTGGAAATGCTCTAACAGGTTAATAGCTACTAGTCTGCAGGGCCTTAAATCATTAGACACAATCAGAAGTCAAGTGGAACATTAATAAGCCACCAGTTTGCAAGGCTTTATCTTTTTTTTTTTTTAAAGATTTTATTTATTTATTTGAGAGAGACAATGAGATAGAGAGAGCATGAGAGGGGATAGGGTCAGAGGGAGAAGCAGACTCCCCGCCGAGCAGGGAGCCCGATGCGGGACTCTATCCCAGGACTCCAGGATCATGACCTGAGCCAAAGGCAGTCGCTTAACCAACTGAGCCACCCAGGCGCCCAGTTTGCAAGGCTTTAAATGATTAGATTTGCTCTCTAGTCAGTAAGACTCACTGAAATGACAATGGACTCATCATTATATCATTCAATCTTTAGTTACTGTGATCTGTGGGATCTCTTTAATTCTGCTTTTATTGGCTTTAGGGTTTGGCTTACAACCCAGTAAAACAATATGAAGATAGATTGTAGAAGGTAGAGTACAAAAATCATTATAGTACAAGGTATTTAATATTTTACAATTTACATAATAATGATGACTCCTTTTCCTACTAAACTTTTTTCTGAGTGCAAGAGGGGACTTGCATACGTCTTATTTTCTTCATTGCTACTTTTAATGTTCTATCTACTCTCTTTCACTTTCGTTTCTAATGTCCTGTGAAAAGTAAGGCAAGTTTGCGGCTATAGCCTATAATCAACCAGGAATTACAGTTTTATTCCTTCTCATAGTTAATCATTTCTACTCAGAAAAATTTAATTTATTCTGCAGCAAATGAAAGTGTGCTACGTGGGTGCTATTATAAAATTGTTTTTCATAGCATAAGTGGCCTATTTCTCTTTCTTGTAGTGTAAAGTTAAGGGATGTACAATTTCAACCTTTCTTGCTTTAGGAGTTACTCTTTTTTTTTTTTTTTCAACCTGTGTCCCACACCTTATGTTAGCTCTTTTCATTCGTCTTGTTCTGCTTAGCCAGGCGTATTTTCCTGTAAACACCTTCCTTCTAGCGTACATCTTAACCCTCTGTGGAGCTATTAAAACCCACCTTGGATCCAACCTCTAAATTCCCTTAGATTTCAGCCCTTACTGCACTCCTCCCGACTTTGCCAGGTAAGCCCCTGCCCCTGATTGCTCCTGATTGCTCATCATTGTCTTGCATCCAAATAATGGCATTCTGTTCTAGCCACAGTGCTTTTTCCCCCTTTTCTCCTACACACTGATCTCATCACTGCCTCAGGGACTTGACATTCTCTCTTCATTTTGTTTAAAAATTTTAGATCTCATGACAGACTACTTTTCAATATTCAGGCTTCAGTTCAATTGTCTCCTTTCTAGAGGAGGCTTCATTGGCCATATACAATCTCACAGTAACTGCATTTTATTTTCATTATAGCTTTAATCACCACTGGAAACTATTTTAATGAACTGTTTACAAGTTTACCTTCTAACCCTACCACTAGATTAAAAACCCAATGAGGGCATGATCTTTATTTCTCTTGTTATTTTATATTTAAAGCCTAAAACAGTGCCTGGTACATAATACAGGCACTAAATAATAAATACAGATACTAAATAATCTTTTGCTAAATGAACAAATGAATTGATTAATTTTAACCCGTTGTATCAGGAAACAGAATGCTGGATTAGACAAATATGGATTTAAGTACAGTATTTCTTAAACTGCCATGCACTCAAGTGCTCTAGGACTTTGTTAATGTGTATTCAGTGGGCAGGCAGCGTAGGCACCCCCTGGAGTTTGCTAGAAATGCAGTCTCCCAGATCTCATCCACTAAATCATTATTCGCATTTTATAAAGATCCCCAGGTGATCTGTGTGCACATAAAAATCTGAGAAACATTGCTCTAGAATTTTTCTGCCTTTCTTCTCTTCTGTTTTGAATAGGACCAGACTGCTTCTTGAATGAGTAGCTACAGATTCATCTGGATTTCATACCTAACATCAGTCGTTTCTCTGTGGGACTTCCCTCTAGACTTCTCTTTAAACAGGGTATACTTAGATGAAAACATTCAATGAGTAGTTACTGATTGCCCATCTTTTGTCAAGCACTGTGCTATGAATATTGCATACATCATCTCAGCTAATTGTCACCACAACATTTTTTTTGAGGTATAATTGACGTATAACATTATATTAGTTTCAGGTGTACAATGTAATGCTTTGATATTTGTATATATTGTGAAATAATCATAATGAGTCTAATTAACATCTGTCTCCATATACACTTATAATTTTTTTAAGTGATAAAGACTTTTAAAATCTACTCTCTTAGCAACTTTCAAATATGCGTTACAGAATTATCAACTAGAGTCTCCATGCTGTACATTACATCCCCATGACTCATTTATTTTATAACTGGAAGTTTGTACCTTTCACAACAACCTTCTGACATGGGCTAACATCTAATTTTTACTTTAAAGGAAACTGAAGCACAACAAGTTTACTGTCTCAAAGAGCAGAAGTTTAACTAAGGAAGCAGAGATTTGAACTTAGTTTTAACCAATTCCCAATCTACTTTTAACTGGCATGGTGGTAGGGAAAACTCGGGATGCCAAGAGAGTTAATAATGGATGAGACTTTGTCTACAAAGAAGTCCAGAAACTGGCACTCCTAGTTATTTCTCGGACACAGTGAAGCATAGTGGCAGCCATATTCTGTCTCAAATACAAAGAGTAGGCATGTTGACATGTCCAAGGTTACGTATTTTTGCTTATAGCCACTGAAAAAAAATGGCAATGGATCTATGAAAATATGAAACTGTTTAGATCTTTGACTTTGCTTTCAATGGGTGCTTTAATCAACTCAACTCATTGACCACTAACTGGAACCCTTAGGCAGTGTGCTCTTTTAAGCTAAATGTCCAGGAGCACTCCAGGCACAAGTCATCAGGGAAACATTAGGGGAGAAAGAAACGCTGGGTTTATGGCTATCACAGGTAATTCCATAATTTGTGATTTTCAACCATTTCCTATGAGTGCAACTTCTATCTTATTTTTAATATAAAAAGTGACCCTGGAAATAAGGTCTTTACCTAAAAGTGCTTTAGAAGATAATTTCATCCGTCTTCTTCACATTAAAACTTGTTTTTGATTGATAAACACTATTTTAATTAGATAAGAACTGTTTTGCATGACATTATTTCAGAGAATGTATGGTAGTAAATTAAACATGTACATATCCAAATATCAGGTTAATTTATAGTCTTTCCATATTGAGGAATGAAAATTTTGCTGCTGAGCATTTTGGAAATTCCATTTTTCCATATCTATTACCCTACTGTTAGGACACTTTCAACTACCATATGTCCCCCATTATAGAACCTTTTGAGACTTGGATTATCTGTATGCGCATCCAAATAAATCTGGGCAGATAAATCTGATTATCATTATTTTGAATGATGTGGTTCTACAGCTCATTTAGGTATAGACCAATGCAACCTGTTTTTCTTTCTTTAGTCTTTTTGAGGACAATTTCTTAGCTCGATCCTGGACATGATGTCATAAGCGTTTAGAATCTGCACACTTGCCATTGTATATTAAATATGCTATATTTTTTTGGCATACATGTTCCAACATAAAATTTTCAAAGGACTGTTTTATATTTATATGATTTGTATTTTCCCCCCATAAAGCTCTAGGCCTCTTAAGCAAACCTACAAAAATGTACATTTTACATGAAACATGTAACACAGAAAGAAATGAATGAACCACTGTCT